GAAAAAAGATTAATTTTCAGAATGGTTTTGTTTGTAATTCTAAATTATAAAATCTATTTCATCTTTTTATTTATTAGATTCTCTTTTGCTTTTTGATTATTTTAATTTGATCATCAATGTAATCGAATTCGTATGTCATATCACATCGTAATAAAAATTGCTCTAAAAACAAAAGACAGATGAAGGCGGAATCAATTCCTTTTTTTATTATAAATATAAAGCTTTACAGAATATGATGATGCTTGAAAAAATGCCAAGATATATAACAAAATCATTTGTGAAATATTACAATAGTAAAAAATATTATTGATATATTAATCGCTTTTAAATATTAATAATCTTGAAAAAATATATTATATTAAAATATTATGATATATATTGATATATATTAAATTAAGATATATTAAGATATTATATAAAATACATTTATATTAAGATATACAATACATAATATTAAGATATTAAGATAAAGATTTTTTAAAATATTACTAAATTAAACTTACTAGAAAAATTTGCATAATGAAAAAAAAATGCAATTTATTTAAAACATAAAAATTCAGAGAATTTTAAGAATCTAATATGAACCATAATTGCTCAATATATTATATCGACAAAATATATTTTTGACAAAATATAACACTTCATGTCATCATAAATGATTAAAAATAACAGTCATAATTCTCATCTTAAATAATAAAAATAAAAATTTTTTTAGTTTAAATAAAATTTTAAAATTAATTTTTGACTAACTAAATCGATTAATTAAACTATGGTAGTAAGATATATCTTTGTCTTCTAATGCTAAAAAATTATTTTTTGATTAATTCATCTATTTATTCCTAATTTTGTTTTATGGTATTAGAATATATATTGATTGTATGATTATAATTATTAAAAATAATTATTAAGAGTTATTTTTTAACATTATTTATAAATTATTAAAATTTGAGACATAATAGAATTAAGAATAAGAATAAAGAATTTTTGAGATAAAATTTATGTAATAATAGAATAATAGAATTTCAAAATACAATTAATAAATATAAATATATTGTATAAAATAATAATAATTTAAAAAGATTATTTTATAAATTATTTTATTTAATTTCGACAAATACTAATTTTTAAAAAAAATTGTTTTTGATTTAATTTAAAAATCTAGTTTTCAATTTTTTAATATAATATAATTTTTTATTTACAATTTTTTACAACTTACTATTATGTAATATAAAATAACTATTAATTAAAAGAATAATTTTCTCAAAATTAAATCAAATGATTTAAATCTTTTGAGAAGTTAGAAGAATTACTACATGATATATACAAATTTTTTGAAAAAATTGCAAAATCAGAATTTTAAAATAGTAAAGAACATTTTTTCAAAAATTTTTTTAAAAAAATTTATTATATAAACCAATATGAAAATTTAAATATATTTTATATAACTACATATTAATATTATATATATATATATATTCATCAAATCATTTTTTTAATATGTATATACATATACATATATACATATACATATATACATATACATATATTTGTTCAAAATTTCATCAAAATCGATTAATATAGAAACGTGTGATAAATATCGAAGAATGTAAAAATGTTTAAGATAAAAATTTAAAAAAATTGCGATTTTCATCATTTTTAATTATTTGTAGCTTATAGAAAAATTATCTGATTTCGATTTTTCAATATGTATGTAATTAATATAAATACAAAATATATTTTTTTAATTTTCATTACAAATTCAAATTTAAATCATTAAAAAAGTTATAAGAGATGATCTTTTCTATTTTATAGATCATATAGTAAATTAATCCTTTTCGTAACTTTTCAAAAAAATTTAAGTCGTTTGTTTTAATTTTAAAAAAATTATTCTTTTTTTGATAATTATATTAATATTATATTAATATTATTATATTAATAATTGATAAATTTATATTTATATCCGTTACTATATTACTATTCTATACTAATTTATATATTATTTTAATAAAAATATTTTTATTTATTGCTTTTTCTTTTTGTTAATTTACCATGTTTTATGTGTATTGAAGATTCTAAAAAATATTAGGTTAGATTTTTTAATTTGTATCTTAATTAAATTTTTAGAATAATTAAATGTAAATCATAGCATGTCTATTTATTACATTTTATGTATCGTATAAAACTATTCGTGATATTCAAAGTGACTTAGAACAAAGTGACTTAGAGAACAATAAAAAAGTGAATTTTAAAAATTTATTATTTAAAAAAATTTAATATTATTACTATAAAAATTTTACATAAAAATTCTGATTAATAATTTTAAGATTGATGATGTATTATTCGTATTAATAATAATAAAAATCATTGTAGCTATCTCAGTAGCAGCTAATAGCAGTTAATTTTTTTTTTATTTTAAGCTAAATTTTGCCCTTTATAATGATGCTGGAAAAAAGACTAAACTTTACTAAACATATTTTAAAATTAAGATTGAAAATAAAAAATATTAAATAATGTATAATTCCAAAAATATTAATAATATCAAAGTGAAATTTAATATAAAAGAAATACATATCTATACAGAAATACATAACAGAAATACATAGTACACTTACTTCAATTAAAAATAATGGAATTAAAAAAACAATAAAATTGTAAATAATAATTCTATTTTTTAGTAATTTGGAAATTGAATTTTTTAAAATCATATAATTATGTTAATAACTAACAAATATGAAAAGAAATCATATCATATTATGGAGAAAATGTTCAATTAATTATCTGTATAAAATTTTTTTTATTTTAAGGATACTTCTAAAAAAGGACTTTTTAGCTCTTTTGAGAGGCAAATACTCCATTATGCGCCGCACTATAGCGATTCAAAAAGGGCACACACAAAGACAAAACAGCGATTGTATTTAAATCCAATTCATACGAAAATATAAAATATGAGTTGCATCCTAATGTTCAAACGAATTCATTTAATATTTCATAATATTTCAATAATTATTATAACAATAATTAGTTGTTGCTATAAAAGCATAAAAAGTTTAAAAATAATTGAATGAATATTATAAAACACAAAAAAAATTTTTTAAATTTTAGTTTTTTTTAAAATTTTATTTTTTAAAAATTGTGAATTTTGAAAAAAAAGTTTACAAATTTGTATTCAGCAGATTAAAATCTAAAAGAAATATGAATTATTAAAGATTATAAAATTAAAAAGATTTAAATTTATCATATAATGTTATTAATTTTAAATTGAATTATTCTTAATTTTATATTTATCATATCTAGAGAAAATTTCTTTAAAATATAATAATTAGTAAAAACATAAAATGATCAACTTTATAAAATTGTATATGACATTTTAAAAAATTTTTGATTTTTTAGTACTAATTTTTTAGTACTAATAAATAATATTAAAGTAACTAATATTAAATTATATTTATCATAATTAAATCATGAGCATTAGTTTAAATTCATATTTTTATTACTTTCATATTTTCATATATTATAAAATATATGAAATATATTCATATCATATAATTATTAGAAAATACATATATTATTAAAAAAAAAATATAAAATAAACATTTATTTCATTCATTAATAAATTGAATATTTTATTTTTATTTTATATTGTTTTAAAAATTTCACATAAATGTATAAATATAATTTAATTATAACATATACAGAATATTCTGTAATTATAATGTATAAGACAAATATAAAATAAATATAAAGAAAAAATTATTGTAAATAAATATAAAATACAATTAAATTAAAAATATAATTTTTTTTATTTAATTCCATCAGCAATTTAAATTTTCAA